TTTTCTTCTTAGGCCACTATCCAAAACTAATGAGTTAGTCACCAGGGCCGAACTGTTCTAGCATACAGGCCTCAACTCAGACAACTAAAGTAGGCCTAAACTGATATAATGTTTAATGAGCTTTTGTATTAGTTTGCAGTGTCGTGATATTCAAACCTAAAGTTTATGTTGGTTGAGTACAGCTTCATAGATTAAATCATACTTTCATATTTTAAAGCAATTTATTAGCAAGCTATACAAACTGTACAAATACCTGAAGCCGAGAAACTTCAAAAATGGTATCCATATTCGTAAACAGTTTTGTGAAGTACACATTTAACGGTGGAATAAACCGAAATTTGTTTTCATCAAAAATCGTGTTTGCAAAATGACTTACGATCAATAATTTCCTTCAAGAAATTAGCGTGTTGAGATTTTCAAAGCTAGAAGTAATAAATTTTCATGATATCTTTTCCCCCCTTTAAAACAGAGGGTGACGCTCCAGTTTCTAAATACGCTACTTAACAGATGTCCGAGGCCAGCTGAGAGAGTTAGGCTACAGTGTGAACTAGAAGAGGCTGGGCTCAATATTGATATTTTGGAAAAGGTTAGTTTTAAAATTATTTCTCCTCTTGACGAGATTCTTGACTTAAATCAAATTGGTATATTTTATATGTATTTAAAAATATTGTAATCATATAATATAGAAGACAATTTAATATATTTTTATTTCATTTTAGTAAAAAGTATTTAGAGAGATATTATTTTATGTTATCTTCTGTTCTCATCACATATGCCTACTATATTGTTTAATGCATAATTGGAGTTAAAAGGGAGAGAATTAATTTTATGAAACTAAATACATTTCTAAATCATACGAAAATGCATTTCATAAGCAACAGATGGCAGTGTTCAGTTGATGAAGAAGGGGACATCTATGAATGATAAACCTCACGACTTACTCCTTATGAGACAACCTTTCTTTAAAGTCTTCCACCTTCTCAGGGTGTGTCAAATAGCTATTACGCGAAAAAAACACGTGCCTAGAAAGTGTATATTCGTTTTTCAATAATCAAAAACGTATTGAAAGATCATTCAAAAGATCTACTTGCAAATTCTGAACATGTAAAAAAAACGAGTTAGGCTAGACTGAGTTAGTAAGACTGTTAGTCAGTTAAATAATCAAAAGTCATTGCACAAATTAATTGGTTTATCTGTTACTATTAGCCCTGGCCGTTCAGTCAAAGAGGACCACATGCGCGTTTCATATTTTTCGAGAAAGTGTTACTTTTTATGGTGCAAATGCGAGTGTAAATTGCCGTAAAAATACATATAAATAGGATGAGGGCATCACTTTTAATTGGAAAAAGGTTCACCATTCCCTGAACACGAAAGTAGTCCCAGATACATCCGACAAAATCATAATACATAAACGATATTATTCAAAAATAGGTAGGGTTCCAAGACCAAAATTTCAATGTGTCAATTATAGTGCAGTCAACTTAACTGAAGGTAGTTTGATTTCAGAATTATTTTTATTTCTTTGGATACATATGTCATGAGTATAATGAAAAACATTCTCGTTATTACGTCAGTGTTGTTAATTATGGCTTTTGCTATATTAAAAATACCATCTGTAAATGTCAATAAATAGGTTTAAATCAATGTAATTAATCTTGAAGTTAATGTATTGCTATCCACAAAGTTCAAATGTATAGATACAGGGTTTTTAACTAAAACCTCACAAGTTAAAAATAACTCCCTACAGAGTGGGTCATTTTTAAAATGCAGAGAAAGCACATGTTCTCCCTAAGCATAGGGAGTGAATTATCCGAAACGCCCTAAATTCAGGGAGTTTGGTATGTTATATTGAAACGATTTTGGTATGCAAATCAGAAAGTCAAGCGACGATTCCAACCGATATAACGTTGCGGTGGAACAACATGCATCACAACTACATTTTCATATTATTTGACATTTCGTAAATAATGTGAAGCCACCGAAAATTGATCGCATTTTGAAAGTATATGTAACAGCCCTTTCTGACCTAAAATATTAATACACTCAGATGATAAAGATAGGATTAGATCGGTGATTTTGAAGAATTTCCAAGATGGGGAAACTTAGTGGCAGTGGAAAACAAGGTAATATGGCTTAACTTGGGTACCAGGACCATTCGTAAAGAGACCTGCAAGAAGTCGTACCCCAGCCGTAGTAACCAAAGTGTGGCGTCTTGTAACATGTGAGAACACGAAGGTCAATGGTAAAAACCGTTTACATGCTCCAAACAACAGTAGACAACACAATCAAGAAGTCGTACCCCAGCCGTAGTAACCAAAGTGTGGCGTCTTGTAAGAGGTGAGAACACGAAGGCCAATGGTAAAAACCGTTTACAACAGTAGACAACACAATCAAGAAGGCACTTCATCTGGAAAGACGACACAAGTCACGTGTACACAAATTACTTTCATGGTATTTCTGTTCAATTACCACATGTCTCAAGCAACTGGAGAAGGAAACGTGTATTTATGTATTTCATACGAAGACATACTGGTCGAATTGACGGATACATCACCTATTGATTTCTGCGCATTCGGACTATTGAAATAGATGCTGGAAAAACCGTCGTCCTCATACATTAGATGGATTATAGAAAGCCAGCCGAAAGGACTGGTGTGCTTTGAACATGACAGTCTTAAGACGGTGCCTTTTGCAAAGGAAATTACACAGAAGGGCTATTTTCCAGATACACGGTCGTTAGAAAGATTACGACCATACATGGTAACATGGACTGTAACGACGTGGTGAAATTATAAGATCGTTTTATACAAGGTAGTCAACCTCTGTATAGGGAGTGAGTGGTCCGGGACTGTTAGCCAGTTCACTAGTTCAGTGTAAATTGTGAATATTTAGTTTATGTTTAGACGAAGAAATACATGTATATTTAACTTATGTTTAGACGAAGAAATACATGTATATTTAGCAAGTAAACATAGTTTCTGTTAGTGTTAGATGTGTCGGTAGTCATTGGTTATATTGAACTTGGAACTTAAATTCTAAGGAATAAAATGTTCTGCACGTAAATACGCAGGGGGTGGGGGTGTTCGGCCGAACCCCCTGTTTTTTGTGATGTAAAACAAGTATGATTGTATAGTTATAGCACAGCTTCTTGTGGTATTTAACGTTTTCTACATAGTCCACATTCTTCTAATGAAGCATTAGCATGTTTTGGCTTGCCCTCAAACCCCCCTCGTGGCATTAGCATGCTTTGCATGATGATTGTGCTTTGCACAATATGTGTTGGCTTTTGATCTCACAAATTAGAACTCCCTTTCAAGCATCGTACGTATGGACCTGTTTTGTTATCCTTAAATGAACCGGACGTACTTTTTTTCTTTCTTGTAATGAATAATCCAAAATAACTCGTTCAACAATAGAGACCATCACAACGATAATGACTTTCGTTGAATAAAAACGTACTTAGAGAATATATTAATAATGTCCGTGAGCGAAAAGTATAACAAACTGATTTTGTTTAAATCATTTTGTAATTAGAAGCTGGAAATGAAAAACACGCCACCTAATGATGAAGTTTGGAAAGAAACTCGTAAATGGAAAGATAATTACTTGGATGTACAAGCAACGATGAAGGAAAACCACACGATATCGTCATTAAACTCTAATCTACAGCATGAGGTATCTTTTTTTTTTGTCGCTTTTTTTTGTGGGGAGGGGGGGGGACAAAGAAACTACAGATTCAAATTAAGCTCGGGGAAAAATGTGTTAAATATTCATGTTCATCATAGAAAAAACAAAACAAAAAGATATATGGCCATCAAAAGATTCGACCTCTTTCGATGAGTGGCCTTGTTTCTTCCTTTACCCCTAGAAAAAAAGAATATTGGTAATAAAGACGGGGGTAATGAAGACAACGGAAAAATACAATGGAAAAAATACAAAGAAAATTACACAAACAGGTCAAAAAGTCAAAAAGTATTTTGGAAAACAGTACCAAACAGCTAAGCCTGAACCAGTTATTGAAACCATATAAACCAACTGACTTAATAATTATAATTCATAACAGGGTTTACGCATGTATATGATGATAAAAATGTAAAATGCTTATTTCGGAATTTGTCATTTTATACCATCCCTAAACTATATGACTTGGTTTTTTTACATGTTTGTGTAATTTTCTTTGTCATTTTATACCATCCCTAAACTATATGACTTGTTTTTTTTTTTACATGTTTGTGTAATTTTCTTTATCATTTTATACCATCCCTAAACTATATGACTTGTTTTTTTTTTTACATGTTTGTGTAATTTTCTTTGTCATTTTATACCATCCCTAAAATATAGGACTTGTTTTTTTTACATGTTTGTGTAATTTTCTTTATCATTTTATACCATCCATAAAATATAGGACTTGTTTTTTTACTTTTTTACCTGCTTGTGCAGTTTTCTTTGTCATTTTTTCCGCTCTCTTATTTACCCTTGTCATTATTACCGCCACTGTAGAAAAAGATAGGTCTGCCTGTGAAAAGCGCTAGAGTTTCTTTGACTTTTAAATATTCGTCTAATATTATTGAATGTGTTAGATTATATGTCAGAAAACCACGAAAGTCGTTGTTTTATATAATTATAATTGATTAGTTTGTAAACATATTTGGATAATTACTGTTTTCTCTTCACTACAGGTTATATTGTTGAGGAGTGCTATAATGGTAAGTGTTTTTAAAACTTTACTAATGACAGCAAAGACACGAGACAATTCAAAGCAATTTAACTTGTGTTATGATTAATAAATTTATATTAATTCTAAACAAATAATTTCTAAGTAATTTTATTTTAATTTCGTATAATTTAAATTGTTTCTAGTCTGTAACGAAATAAAAACTATTCTTTTTTTGTTTTGTTCTTTACTGACGTACAAAATGGACCTTGGTTTTGATCACGACTTAATTTTTGGCCCATTCTAAATAATAACTTCAGTAACACTTAAATAATCAAATTGTTATATTTCTAAAATCCTGTCAACAAGGATCGGGTACCTTTTTTCTTATAAATTAATAAGGGGTCGTGAAGTGTAAAATTCTAATTAGTCATTCTTCATATAATACATTGGTATTAGGCCTATTATATTTATAGTAGTGCATTCTAGGCCTAAAAGTAATACTAATGTCTTATTACAAATGTAATTATTATCATTCTTCGCCAGCTTGGAAAAGGAGTTCACACCTGATTATAGTTTAGTTTAGAATATGGAACGGCTGAGATGGATCAATAGGTCCCATGTTGTTCCAAAACGTAATATTATAGTTTAAGGACTTAAAACGCTAGAAACCGGGTTTCGATACACAACACAGATTGTGTAGCTTTGCGCTTAACTACAAATAAAACATTTCAATATAAATATTTCAAAAATTAAAAAAGAAAAAATTTCAAATCATTTGAACTTTTTACCAAACTTATTTATTTTATTTGAACTTCCACCGTAAATTACGTTTATTTATTTTTTTGTTTTATGTACACCAGAATCTGGAGGAAGACAATATGAGACTTATGCAGATAGAAGGCGAGGTACGTAGTTATGTTGTAGCAAATATCGGCATACACTTTTTAGGTCTCGAATAACAGCCTCAACTACACAAAATATTATACCTTCAAAAAAAAATTATATGAGCAGAAACATTTCCGTTTGAAAATATAACCAATCCGTATTATGAATACATATTTATATTTGTAGGACTAAAAGCTTTGGTTAAGATAAAACCATTTGTTTTAGTAATTTCGGTTAAATAATATAGTCAATAAAAAGTTTCAATAATTAAAACAAGGTATGTTGAGCAATATGTTGAAGTGATCTCTCCCCTCCTCCCACCTTCTGAACAACTGAGACAATTTCTATACACTTTTACAATTAAAAACAATAATTAACGCAAGGATTCCTTATAAGCCGTTTTGCATCTTAAGCTATGTTTTCGTGCACTCTGAAATATAGGTCGAAGTATAGAAGGTACGAAACCAAAGGCGTCGCTAGGTTCTTAAAATATTTTGAAATTAAAAAGAGTTAGGCGGACGGTGCCAGTCCGTGGGATTTCACAAAAATTGACAGAATATCGATATGTAAATCGTAAGTGGTCCGCGACAGTTTAGGGAGGCAGCGAGACGAACTCTGGTATTCTAAATGTCTGTTGTTTTACAGGTCTGAACTTTCTGCATTATTCAACATCAAGAATCGTAAGATAGAGCCGAGGTCAGTGACCCGGAGGCCGCTCTTTGACTGTATACATTTGGTTATTATCCACATTTAAAAAAACCAAAACAAAACTTCAGTTGCATATGGCTGATTATATGTCTACGTACACACACACACACACATACATATAAATATATATCTATATATGTTTTTTTCAAACTCCCAAAAATAGGGTTAGAGTTGCATAACATGCTTTGATTGGTTATCCTTGCATGTCAATCTTGATAAGTCCAACAGACGCTCATCTGTTTGGCCCAGGCCAACTAGAGTCTAGCTTACGGTTCTCAAACCTTTCAGGCTTATGTAACACTTTCTGTGAATTTTTTCTTCAAAGTATAAACCCAGGCCTAATTTGAAAAAAATGAAACAAACCTACTAGCAAAAAATTAATTTTTCCCGAAAGGGGCCAAAGGCCGCCTGCAGGGGTAACCCATTTTAACCACTCACATCACTATATAGTAGTGTGTTGTCTGTCAGTTAGTCAGTAGACACTAAAATGACGTCACATAAGATAAATTTATCGTTGCAATTTGTAATGTCACTAAAACATGCGGAGGGCGTGTCTAGAAGGGAAGAAAATCATATTTACGCAGGTATTTCAAATTGAGTTCATTACAAACTTTATCATTTTTACATTAACATTTTTTGTGTATCAAACACTGTGGAGGATATAAACTGTTGGTGAGGATACAAGGCATACATTGTGAGGGTACAAATTGTTGGTGAGTATATAAGTCATACTTTGTGAGGATACGAGCACTTGGTGAGGTACAGGATATAAGTCAGACACTGAGGATGCAAACACTTGGTGATGTACGGGATATAAGTCAGACACTGTGAGGATACAAGCACTTGGTGATGTAATGGGATACAAGTCATACTTTGTGAGGATACGAGCACTTGGTGAGGTACGGGATATAAGTCAGACACTCTGAGGATACGAGCACTTGGTGAGGTACGGGATATAAGTCAGACACTGTGAGGATACGAACACTTGGTGAGGTACGGGATACAAGTCAGACACTGTTAGGATACGAACACTTGGTGAGGTACGGGATACTAGTCAGACACTGTGAGGATACGAACACTTGGTGATGTTGGGGATATAAGTCAGACACTGTGAGGATACGAACACTTGGTGAGGTACGGGATACAAGTCAGACATTGTGAGGATACGAACACTTGATGAGGTACGGGATATAAGTCAGACACTGTGAGGATACGAGCACTTGGTGATGTTCGGGATATAAGTCAGACACTGTGAGGATACGAACACTTGGTGAGGTACGGGATACAAGTCAGACACTGTGAGGATACGAACACTTGTTTAGGTACGGGATATAAGTCAGACATTGTGAGGATTCAAACACTTGTTTAGGTATGGGATATACGCCAGACACTGTGAGGATACGAGCACTTGGTGAGGTACGGGATACAAGTCAGACACTGTGAGGATACGAACACTTGTTTAGGTATGGGATATACGCCAGACACTGTGAGGATACGAGCACTTGGTGAGGTACGGGATACAAGTCAGACACTGTGAGGATACGAACACTTGTTTAGGTATGGGAT